TTTATTTTATACCGAGGGACTTAAAGTTTAATCAAATCCATTCAAAAGAAGCTTCTTATTACAGGAATGAAAAGAGATGCTGAGTTGTAGAGAACAAGTTCATTAAAAAAAGCAGTATTGAATTATCCTTATCTCTGTTACAAAAATCTACAAATATATATATATATTTGGGCAGAAACTGAACATATGCTGGATGATGGTGGGATTTTTTTAATATGTCATATTAAATTAAGCGCTCACAGGGTTCATACAGGAATGAGTGACTCTAATTTAATGCTATTTTAATGCTATTAGAAATGATTTTAATGCCATCAACAAGAACCATGTACACAAGTTATTAGTGTACATGAAATATGAAGGAGCTGTTAGCACAGTTCCAAGACTCCTGTATGTATGTAAACACACACACACATATATATATACGTATATATATTCTCTAGCTTTTTCTCTGCCTCGAGCTTCCTTTCCGAACATACGGCTTTATAAACAGTTCCACCAAGGGCGTAGGAATATGTTTACAATTGGGGGGGACACATGTCGGAAATCTGAAATTCGTAAATATTCAACAGAAACATATCTTAAGTACGCTACTTAAAAAAAAGGCTATTTAATCTTTTTCTTTATTCCTTTATAAATGTGTTTGCAAAAATAATGCATTTAAAATGAACATAATGCATTTGTTCATAAGATGTGAGCATATCACCAAACAAAATGACTGGAGTCTTTTATTAAGCAAAGGGAGATGTCTTGCAAGGGCTTCGGCCCTTGGCATATTTAGTGTCCGCATACGCACTAGAAAATCAAAACAATTCAGTAGGCCACACAAGTGCAAAGTTTGATATGTTTTATTTTGTCAAACTTGCAATAATGGTCAAAAATGAATTTATATAGGTTGACTGACAGAGGGAGCTGACAGTGTGTTGAAGAATTAGGGACAGGGCGCTTTGAAGCATCTGGTTCAAAAACGCATTCTAAACCTTTGGTAGAAATCCATCCATCCTTCCATTTTCTGTACACCCTGTCCCTTAGTGGGGTCGGGAGGTGCTGGTGCGGGGTCCACCCTAGACAGGTGGCCAGTCTGTCCAGACCTTTGGTAGAAGCCTTTAATTCCAATTTGCAGTACAGAACAGAGAAAACTACAGAGTTGTCAATGTTGTGTTAATCTGTTTATAGTGTAAAAAGAGGAGCCAGCAGTTTATTTGAGGAAATAAAGATGCAGAAGTTAATTAGTTGGTTAATTAGTGGTTGTGCAGCAGTCCGCTGCACGACCAATGCGGCCGCCGCTGCTAAGAATTAGAATTAATTCTCCCTGTGGTTAACTAACGATCAGGAGCGCGGCAGGTATAACATCTGTCCATTTCCGCGAATCAAAACCATGCAAAAAATAAAAAATCCTCATAAAACGCACACCCAGACCGGGCTAATTTCAACACAAGTTGTGTTAGGTGATTGTTACTCACACTGACGTTTCTCTTTAAAAAATATCTGAATAAGTCCTACTGCTGTTTCAGCCTTTTAGTTGGTGGTGGCATTGTACTGAAATGAGATATATAAAAAAAAAAAAAAAAAACAATTTGGCTAGCGTGGCAAACGTCTAGAGAAAGTTAGCAGTTAAATATTGGATGAGTGATCATCCCAAGACTACGGAAGAGGATTAGGGCCACTGGAGAAAAAAAAATTAAGTGATTTTTACATTTTATTTCAGTTTAATACGGGAAAAAAGTCAGAATTCTGACTTTTATTTTCAGAATTAAGACTTTTTTTTCTCAGAATTCTTACTTTTTTTCTCAGAATTTTGGATCTTAATGTAAATGGGCACCATGAAGGCAGAGATGTGGAGCACTCAGCTTCACAAACAAAGATGTGAGTTGTTTGAGGTGGCCAGTGACACATTGGTGGAAAATGACAGAATTAGGCAACTTTTTACGTGCCTGAGGGGTCCCCTCATTAATGGAGGAGCAGAAGGTCATTAAAACAAGAGAGCTAGTCTCTAAAAGAGACATGGCTATGGCTTGATGCTAACATGTTTGTTGTTAAACATACTTTTGTTATATTACATTTGTGTTGTGTTTTCCAAATAGTGTAGAAAATTAATGGTGGGTTTATAATGTTTACCTTTTATGAGCAGGACAGGAAGCAGAGAAGTGTAGCATTACCTCCAACTAGTTAAACTCATAATTATGAAGTTATTCAACAAATTCCTCAAGTAAAAAAGTGCAACTTTTTTATTTTTATTTTTTAACAGATTTGTTGATTAATTTCAAAATTATGTATTCCTTCCAAATTTCCAAATCTGAAGAATTTTTTAAACCAATATCTACATTATTTAACATTTAGTTTGTTTTAGCAGTACTTCCTGTTATATTTCTTTATACGTATATTTTACATTTTCTTGCACAGCAAGCTCAGCAGATTTGAAATTGTGTGCTTGTGTAAACACAAGTAGTCAATCTTTACTCTAAACATATATTCTGTTTATTTTTTAGTTAGACTTCTTGTTTTTATATATCTGTATAGTACCCCCCCCCCCCACCAAAAAAAAAAACTGTAAATTGATTAGAAATATTAATCATCTGTCAGATTTCTGAGAAAAAAGTCAGAATTCTGAGATTAAAGTCAGAAATCTGAGAAAAAAGTCGGAAGAAAAAAGTCAGAATTCTGAGATTAAAGTCAGAATTCTGAGAAAAGTCAGAATTCTGACTTTTCCCCCCATGTTAAACTAAACAAAAAATTAAAAATCAGTTAACTTTTTTCAGTGGCCCTAATCCTCTTCCTACAAGACTAAGATGACTAAACCAAAAAGATTCAGTTTCTATATATGAAAGTGAACTGACAACAAGACGTTATAAATAGGCAATATTCATAGCAGCATTCCCGACAGACCATTTTACCTCATTAACAAGTTTCTGACTTTCTGTATCGCTGTTTCCCTCCTTTCTGAGTGCTCAAACACTCAACAGTTCACAGAGGGGAGGGGGAGTACAGTGACGTAACGCTATGCTGCGCCTTCAAAATAAAAGCACGATAGTTAAAAAATTGTCAAAATCTAATATTTTGCGGTAGAATTTTTGGGGGGGACATATCCACCTGGCTTTTATATTGGGGGGGACATGTCCCCCCCGTCCCCCCCGCTTCCTACGCCGCTGAGTTCCACGCAAATTAATAGCGATATAATATATCTGACGAAATTGTTTTTAGAAGCATTTTTATTAAAGAATCATAAATGCAACGATAAACATATTTAATTAATTTTAGTGCCAATTAAGGCCTTGATTAAAAAAAGAATTGTAAAAAAAAATGAATTGTAATTATTTTTAATGATCCGCGGAAACCCTGGTTCATCTGGCGCATGCCCTCTACGATCTCCAAGGAACTCAGAGCGGAGGGGACGGAGCAACAGCGGCGGCTGTAGGCTTTGCTTTGTGCAGGCGGTCTGGAGCGCAGCGGGGCGGAGCGGAGCGGAGCGCAGACGGAGTATGTGGGATTTCGGGGTTGGAGAAATAAAAAATATCAGTATCAGTTATCTGCTGGTTGAGTTGTAAAATAAATAAAAATACAGCTGAAGAATTAATATTGTGCATCTCTACTCATTCATTTTGTAAAAAAAAAAAATATGTAAACTTATATATGTAAAAATAATTTTGTAAAAAATATATCTTCCATAGGAAAACTGATGTCATTTTGAACCACTAACAGTGTATTTGTGTTTTTTTACTTCAAAAATAAGGAAAAAGCTTTTATAAGGATGAAGTATGGATCTTCTTCGCATGATATTATTTGAATGAAAAAAACAAAACAAAACAAAAAAATTACAAGAAAAATTTATCTAAAAGCAGATTTGTGGTTCTTCATTCAAATTCAATGAATATATTATTTTAAAAACCAGTAATGCTTCTGAAGCTGTAAAATGGTATTATACTGTTTTTTTTTTCTTTATATCATAAGGCCGTTGTAGAGGATCTGAGGTTGCAGGTTCCAGACACCTGCTTGAACTACCAGATTCAGATAAATGGACTGATGATAGCTGAACAATTTGTCAAAACCAAGGAATAAACAAATAATGGTGGACCTAAGGGGGGGTGGATACGGGAGAAAGGAGAGCAGCAGACCGCCCAAACAAAGCTTCAAAAATATCAGTAGCTGAAATACAAAATTACAGAATCAATTAGGAATCAATGTGAACTTGGGTTTGAGGCTGCAGAGGGTTATAGGAATAACCTCTGAAGTCTCTGTTTGGATTTTTGCTTTCTCAGGAAAGGATACGCTCTGAACCCTCAAGTCCCCAGGCCTGGTAAAAGATACAAAACGATAAGTCATACCAGCAGATAGGTTTGGGAACGTGACCAAATGTTTCTTTGCCATTCGTCTCTTTTTTGTCACTATATTATTCTTAGGGCTGCTCAGTGGGGCAGTGGGTAGCACTGCTAACTTGCAGCAAGAAGGTTCCGGGTTCAATTGCCGGCCCGGGGTCTTTTTGCAGGGAGTTTGCATGTTCTCCCTGTGCATGCGTGGGTTCTCTCCGGCTTCCTCCCGCTGTCCAAAAACATGACTGTTAGGTTTATTGGTTTCTCTAAATTCTCCTTAGGTGTGAGTGAATGGTTGTTTGTCCTGTTTGTCGTTGTGTTGCCTGTTCAGGGTGTACCCCGCCTCTCATCCATTGACAGCATGGATAAGCGTGATGGAAAATGGATGGATATTATTCTTTTTTATTCCATGTTATTGTTATTCCAATAGAGAACAATCAAAGCCAGTTTATGTAATAATGCAAGGCCTTTTGTCAAAACGTTTTCAATTGAAGGGGAAACTAGTGGATTGCATTCAGCAATACCTCTTGACAGTAAAAGTCCCAACTTACAGGGTTTATAGGAGCAATAGCTTCGTTGTTGGCCTAACATGAGAGAGAAATAACTGTCAGCTGTCGCTTGACAGAAATACGAGGAGATTAACAAAGTCCTTCATTTTCTCTAAAGCTTGTTTGTTTGTCTTTTGCTTTCTTGCAGACTATTTTGGTTGGAGACAGTGGAGTAGGGAAGACATCTCTTCTAGTTCAGTTTGACCAGGGCAAGTTCATCCCGGGCTCCTTTTCTGCCACAGTTGGAATCGGATTTACGGTACGTTTGGGATGTAGTGCATACGCATGCAGACAGCAGAATCCACCGGCTTAAAAAAGATTTCTTCCTTTAGATTTATAAAATTTCATCAAACATATAAATTAAAAACCAAAAACAACAGAAGAAATTGAGTTGTTTGCAATTTTGTGATGTTTTGATTTGCAAGGAGCAATGGCTTTACAGTCAGCGGCTGAGGAGCATGACAGTCTGTTGAAATGGAGTGAGGGTCTGCAACAATGAGCATGGGCTGTAGAAATATGCTGAAAAAGCCCTATATATACAGTGAGGAAAATATGTATTTGAGCACCATGCCATTTTGCAAGTATTCCCACTTAGAAATCACGGAGTGGTCTGAAGTTGTCATCGTAGGCGCATGTCCACTGTGAGAAGCATAATTTAGAAAAGTGGATTACCAACAGTAACCTTGGAAACAGTGGTCCCGGATTTTTTAAGGTAATTGACCAGCTCCTCCTGTGTAGGTCTGGGGTGATTTTTCACCTTTCTTTGGATTATTGAGACCCCACGAGGTGAGATCTTTCATGGAGCCCCAGTCCAAGGGAGATTGACAGTCATATTTAGCTTAATAGCCCATTTCCTAATGATTGCTTCAACAGGGGTCCTTTTTTCAACGAGCTGCTTGGTAATTTCCCCCTTAGCCCTTTCCAGCCTTAGGGAGGTGCACAATTTTGTCTCTAGTGTCTTTGGACGACTCTTTGGTCTTGGTCATGTTAGTAGTTGGATTCTTACTGATTGTATGGGGTGGCAGGTGTCTTTATACAGCTAACGACCTCAAACAGGTGCATCTAATTTAGGATAATACATGGAGTGGAGGTGGAAATTTTGAAGGCAGACTAACAGGTGTTTGAGGGTCAGAATTCTAGCTGGGGCTCTAATGAGAGCAATAATAGATTATGGCAGCATTATATATGGAGCAGCAGCTAAAACATCATTACAAAAAATAGAAAGATTACAGTGTAGGGCTTTACGAATATGTACAGGAGCAATAAAAACAACACCTATTAATGCTCTATTAATTGAAAGTGGGGGAACTCCACTTGAAATGAGGAGAATTAAATTAGCTTTAGCATATTGGATGAAAATTAAAAGTAATATAGATGATCATGTGAATTCAACTATTCTGCAAAATTGTTGGGAATATGTGAAGTTCCAAAGTAATGGATTTGGATGGATGGTTAGGAAATGGATTAAAAAGTATAGATTAGAAGACAAGGAAATAGCTCAATTTAACCCAATTAGCGTTATTCCTCCATGGCTAATACCTGAGGTTAATGTAGATTTGCAAATCAATACAATGAAAAATGATTGGAATATAAATGAAATAGGGATAAAAACTGATATTTATTTAAGAACTACATATAATAATTACCTTAAAATTTATACAGATGGTTCTAAGAATCTAAAAGGTTATGTGGGTATAGGAATATATATCCCAGAGTTTAAAAAATGTATTCATAAAAGAATATCAGATCAATTGTCGGTTTTTACAGCAGAAATGGTGGCAGTTATATTAGGCTTGCAATGGGTGGAGGAGATTCGACCAATCAGGGTGGTGGTGTGCACAGATTCTAAAGCAGTAGTGGAAAGTATTAAGGGAGAAGGAAATAATAGAAAAGATTTGGTATTAGAAATTCATCATATTTTACTTAGATTATATAGGGGTGGCATTGATGTTTGGTTTTGTTGGGTGCCAGGCCAGCACATGAAGGAGTAAAAGGCAATGAAAAGGCAGATAAATTAGCTAAAAGGGCTTTAGAGGGGGAAATAACGATTTCAATTCCTTTTGGAAAAGGGGAAGGGAAATCACTTATTAAAAGTAAAGAAATGGAGGAATGGGCAAAAAATATGGAACGAAGATAGGAAAGTAAGAAGATTATATGAAGTGCAAAAGTCAGTTCGAATTCGAAACATTAATGAAAGAAACAAGAGAAGAAATAATAGTTAGTAGATTAAGAATAGGTCATACCTACTTAAATGACATGCTTTATTTAATAGGGAGGAAAAATAGTGATAAATGTGAGAAATGTGGTGAAAAAGAAAATGTAGAACACATACTGATGAACTGTAAGTTATATGAACACGAAAGGGAAAAATTAAAGAGAATAGTTAGAAGTATAGGGCATGAATGGAATCTTAAAGGAATATTAGGAAATGAAGGAAACATAACAGATATTCATAAACTAAGGAAAGCATTGTTTATGTATCTTAAGAATTCAAAATTAAAAAATAGAATCTAATACAGGTGCTGGTCATAAAATTAGAATATCATGAAAAAGTAGATTGATTTCAGTAATTCCATTTAAAAAGTGAAACTTGTATATTATATTCATACATTACATACAAACTCATATATTTCAGATGTTTATTTTGTTTAATTTTGATGATTACAAATGACAACAAATGAAAATCTCAAATTCATCATATCAGAAAATTAGAATATTACTGAAGACCAATAAAAACAAAGGATTTATAGAAATGTTGGCCAACTGAAAAGTATGAACATGAAAAGTATGAGCATGTACAGCACTCAGTATTTAGTTGGGCCTCCTTTGGCCTGTATTACTGCAGCAATGCGGCGTGGCATGGAGTCGATCAGTCTGTGGCACTGCTCAGGTGTTATGATAGCCCAGGTTGCTCTAATAGTGGCTTTTAGCTCTTCTGAATTGTTGGGTCTGGTGTATTGCATCTTCTTCTTCACAATACCCCATAGATTTTCTATGGGGTTAAGGTCAGGAGAGTTTGCTGGCCAATTAAGAACAGGGATACCATGGTCCTTCCACCAGGTACTGGTAGCTTTGGCACTGTGTGCAGGTGCCAAGTCCTGTTGGAAAATGAAATCTGCATCTCCAAAAAGTTGGTCAGCTGCAGGAAGCATGAAGTGCTCTAAAACTTCCTGGTATGTGGCTGCGTTGACCCTGGACCTCAGAAAACACAATGGACCAACACCAGCAGATGACATGGCACCCCAAACCATCACTGACTGTGGAAACTTTACACTGGACTTCAAGCAACGTGGATGAAGTGCCTCTCTTCTTTTCCTCCAGACTCTGGGACCTTGATTTCCAAAGGAAATGCAAAATTTACTTTCATCAGAGAACATGACTTTGGACCACTCACCAGCAGTCCAGTCCTGTTTCTCTTTAGCCCAGGCAAGACGCTTCTGACGCTGTCTGTGGTTCAAGAGTGGCTTGACACAAGGAATGCGACAGCAGAAACCCATGTCTTTCATACGTCTGTGTGTGGTGGTTCTTGAAGCACTCACTCCAGCTGCAGTCCACTCTTTGTGAATCTCCCCCACATTTTTGAATGGGTTTTGTTTCACAATCCTCTCCAGGGTGCGGTTATCTCTCTTGCTTGTACACTTTTTTCGACCACATCTTTTCCTTCCCTTCGCCTCTCTATTAATGTGCTTGGACACTGAGCTCTGTGAACAGCCAGCCTCTTTAGCGATGACCTTTTGTGTCTTGCCCTCCTTGTGCAAGGTGTCGATGGTCGTCTTTTGGACAACTGTCAAGTCAGCAGTCTTCCCCATGATTGTGTAGCCTATAGAACTAGACTGAAAGACCATTTAAAGGCTTTTGCAGGTGGTTTGAGTTAATTAGCTGATTAGAGTGTGGCACCAGGGGCCATCAATTTTGAACCTTTTCACAATATTCTAATTTTCTGATATGATGAATTTGAGATTTTCATTTGTTGTCATTTGTAATCATCAAAATTAAACAAAATAAACATCTGAAATATATGAGTTTGTATGTAATGTATGAATATAATATACAAGTTTCACTTTTTAAATGGAATTACTGAAATCAATATACTTTTTCATGATATTCTAATTTTATGACCAGCACCTGTAGATGTGAAGTAACGCTGCTACACACTCATGTACAGTAGGTGGCGGTATGCACCTTAAAGTTGCTTGTGATCCGCCATAATAGAAGAGAAGAAGAAGAAGAATTCTAGCTGATAGACATGTGTTTGAATACTTATTTGCAGCTGTATCATAGAGATAAATAGTTTTAAAATTATAGATTGTGATTTCCTGGTTTTCTTTTTAGATTATGTCTCTCAAAATGGCACCATATACAGTATATATATATATCTATATATATATGATTTTAATAACCTTGTCCTTTTGCAATAATTGTCTCCTTTGTATTTTCCACAGAATAAAGAAGTAACTGTTGATAATGTGAAAGTCAAACTACAGGTAAGTGTGCACGTTTTTTCAATGAGAGGCTGATTTACTTCATGAGATTCTTTTTAGTCTCCTTTGCTTTGCAAGTGAAGATAACAGCTGATTAGAAGCAGATCATGGTGTTTTCTGTTACAGATTTGGGACACAGCAGGACAGGAACGGTTCAGGAGTGTGACTCATGCATATTACCGAGATGCGCATGGTGAGAACCAATGAATCAGAACATAAATTACAAAGTTCCGCTTGTGCTCTGCGTCCAGGATGTGATGCATTCGGTATATATGTAATTTGTCTGTTTCTTTTCTTTTTTTTTCTTTTTTCAAAGCCTTGCTGCTTTTGTATGACATCACCAACAAATCGTCGTTTGACAATATTAGGGTAAGTTTCATTGTTGTCTTCTCCCACTGTTACCTATACAGCTTAGGTCACTGTTAAACCTAAACCAACCTCTGTTTTTTCCCTCATTGGTTTTAAAAAGGAAACTGATGACAGGAAAGTTAAACTAAAATAAATTAGTGAGGTCATCATTGCATGAGTTAAAGTGGGTTGTATAAATCCTGAGTGGTTCCTACCTGCAGCATCTGAGGTCAAAACTCAGCAGGGGGCTGCAAGATGTAACAAAACCACAATCTCACATGTGTTTTCTTCTCCAGGCATGGTTAACAGAAATCCATGAGTACGCACAGACTGATGTAGTCATCATGTTGCTCGGCAACAAGGTGAGATGTTTTCAGACCTCAGTATTTAATGTAAAAAAGGCTTAGAAGAAAAAGATGGTTTACTGTCTTTAGTGAACTACACTGATGCTGAGTGAGCTTCCAGAAGTAGACATGGTTTTCATATGTTTTAATTAACTAGGAATGTTGTAGGAGACAAATTCAGCTTGGTTCTCTGCTTACAGAAGTTTAGAAACTAAAATCAATATTTAGTATCATCTCAAAAATGTTGTGCCAGTTCATGCAATAGATGGATGTTTGGACTAACAATGACCTATTAAAAGTGAATCTAAGAATTTGTGCTTCACTTAAAGACATACAGTATAAATTGTTTGCAATATAATATTCATATTGAGTGAAGATTTATACAAAAATGTAATTTCGTATACACAAAGTGTATACAAAATGACAATAAATGCTGTGTAAGTCTAAGAAAAAGTTATTAAACATTCTATGGAGATAAATTGGAAACATGAAGTTTGTTCAAAAAAAAAAAGTTATACCCAAAAAAATGTAAATTTCAAAGACGTGTCAGATTCTTTTTTTTTTCTTTTTTTCTTTTTGAACTTGGAGATTTTTATCTCGAGCTTGATAATTCATTTTTTGTTTTGTTTTTGTTTGTTTGTTTTTGTTTTTTTTTTGTCCCTGTGTTAGCCTGGGGGACAGGGCCTTAGAATCATGACTAAAATCTTAAAATAGCGGCAAGAACAGACTTTGATTTTCAGTTTTGATTTTCTTTTTTGAACAAACTGTTCCAGGTATATATTCTTTTCTTTTGAACAAACCTTTTTTTTTCCAGATATATATTTTTTCCTATTGAACAAAGTCTTTTTTTTTTTCAGATTTACTTTTTTTGTGTATGAACAAACTTTATGGCCCAAATTTAGCTCCATACAATACCAGTTATTAAGAAATTGTCTATGCACTTTAGGCACTGTGGCATTCCAAAAATACACATCAGATAGATTGACTTTTATAGTTTGAAAAATATAAACCAAATCAGAAGTTGAGAAAAAATATATCACACATGCTATAAATATTTTTTACATAATGTTCCTAAGATTACTAACTTATCATTTAGTTAAGATCTCTAAACTGGTTTTAGTATCTGAAAAGAGTGAGTTTCAGTTTCTAATGATCTTGAGAAGATTGTGATATAAAGGATTGGGGGTTCTGCTGTTGCACCAGCTGAATTGTTGCCCATCAACTGCTGCAGAAGTTGCAGTCATATAGATCTGTAACTTTGTTGTTAAATCTTCATTGGTGCATTTTTTTTTAGCTGTAGCTAGCATGCAGTAGCATCACTGATCTCAGCTACAAGTGAACCAGTTATTCTATTGTGATTAAATCATTTTTAAATTGATTTTTTTGGCACATTATTTCATAACTTTTTGTTGTTGTTGTTTGTTTTATCAGTTCAGTTATGTTAAAATAATATTGTGTTAATCAGTTTAATGGTTTCTAAGTGCAAAAAAAAAAAAAAAAAAAAAAAAATCTCAGTATGTGTTTGAAGCAATTAGCAATTCTGTGCCTACCCTCCACTACCCTCTGCAACCACCAGGGGGAGTCATGTTTACTCTAAAAAAATTTTTGCTTTAACTAACATTTAACTGCTTTTCAAATTTTAAGTAAAATTTGAGTAAGAGATTAAAAATTGAATGACTGACCATATGATCAAAATTAATTTTTCTGGCAATTTTTGGTTTAAAATCAACATTCACTTAACATTGAGCTCAATTTAAATCCTAATCTGAGGATAAGGGTGATGGCATAGAGGCCTTCCAAGCCAGAGGTGTTTATGTTCACTTGAGAAAACTCCATTCAGATTCCAGTCTCTGATTTGATGACTTCAGACTAGACTTGGTTACATTAGAAAAGAATTGCATCTTGTCTTTGACTGAATTACTTATGACTTGTCTTGATTTTCTGATTCAAGTTGAATTTTTAATACTTATTATCATTAATGTTTCAGGGGTCATTAGGACCTGTTGATGATTTCAAAGTTAAACCATGGGTCTTGATTATAACCATTCAATACCTACTTGTAACAGGCTGACCACCAATTACAAAGAACATATATTATTTTTTACATGTAATGTTTAATTGATACACATAAAAACAGATTTTTTTTTTTCAGTTCTTCCTTTTGCAATCAGGGATGTCTGTCTCACTTTATTGACCTCTTGGACAAATTAAAAATAATAACTTAGAGTTAACTTCAGTCTATATGATTTCAATAATTCTGCACAGAAATATGAGTTGGTGAAATAACTGACACATTATGATACACCTTTCCCATAACTGAAAAGTTTTTGAGGAATGTTGAAAATTTAGCATATTTTTGGGAATTTAACTAGAGGTTTAAGAGGTTCTTTGAGTGGACAAATCAACAGATGAGAGAGAAGAACACAACATTATAATAATTAGTTTAATTATAATCAATTTAGTTGGAAATAACCTGTCAACTTAAGACCAAAGTACTGTGTGTAGAAAGATGACGATACAAAAAATTCTTAATACATTTTTAAATTAATTACCAGAGGAGCTGTGCAGAATATTTGGAAATGAATCTAAACCTGCTTTAATTTGAGCGTCTCTGTGATGTGTTGATATTTCAGGCTGATATGAGCAGTGAGCGAGCGATCAGGAGAGATGAAGGAGAAAGGCTGGCCAGAGTGAGTCGGCTTCACACCAAACTGTACTAACACGACTGATGTGGTTGAGGTTTGTTACTTACTGCTGTCCGTTCCTCTTCTTCCCTGCAGGAGTATTCGGTTCCTTTCATGGAGACTAGCGCAAAGACGGGAGTCAACGTAGAGCTTGCCTTCACAGCTGTAGCCAAGTATGACACCGTTTATTACACAATAATAACCTAATGCTGACAGAGTAACTGTTTATTACAGTGCATTGCTGTGAAAAAGTATTTAAGACCATACATGTTTTTTCTGCTGTCGCTCTTCATATATTGAGCATTTCAGAACACCAAAATGTCTTTAACATCAGGCAAAAAAAACTGAGTCAATCTAAAATGCATTTTTGAGATTCAGTGAAAAACCAAATCCAAACTAAGCTGCCGTTCTAAGCAAAGGGGATTGCTTTCTAAACATAGGAACCAGCTGGGATTGTTTTTTTTATTTGTTTTTTGTTTTTTTTGTGGTTCTTTCTGAGATGTCTTTTTTTTTTTTTTTTTTTTTTTTTTTTTTTACGTCACTCCCAGTGTTCGATACACAAGCCAGTTTTTAGATCTTTAACTTATTTTTTTTTTTTGAGCCTTTGGATAAAGTGTTTTTTGTGTTTAGTCCCTGGGGTAAGTAGTCAATTTTCCCTCAGCTGCACTGCCTTTCTGTTTTTCTCTTAAATGTTCTTACATTTTATGCATCCCCCTTCCACATTGGTTACCTGCTTTGTTTGTGTGTTTCCAATTTTGTTGTTTTCTATTACATCTTCTGTGCAGGTTTACTCCTTAATGCCTTCATCTTTTTGGCATTCAGCTGCTTTTTTTGTTGTTTTGCACCTGTGAAGATGGACATTGAATCCTCTCCACCATATCTTTATACAGCTGCACTAGTTTTAATCTATGGACAACCTGCTTAAGGTGTGACTTTAACTAGGCCACTTCAAATTCTTCTTTTTTTACATGCAAAGCCAGGATAGTAGTTAGCTCCTTAATTAGACTAAGATATTTTCTCAGAAAGTTTTTTTTTTTTCCAATCAGGTTTTTAAGCAAACTGCTTGTCATGAATTATGCATCTGGTCATTTTGACAAATAATCTAACAACAAATTAAACAAACAAACAAGGCGAATTAAGATAAAAGGCACCTTTCATAGAACAGAAGAAGCAAATGGATTGAATCATTTATTAATCAGATTTTTTGTTCAAAGTCTTGGAATTTTTTCTTAGCTTTTACTCCTGGAAGCACTCAGTTAGCACAAGAAGACGGACAAGAAAATAAATTAATTTTCTCTCAAGACCTCTTAGTGCTTTTCACCTTATAGAGCTATATACATTTTTACATTTATTGTTGGACAAACAGGCATAGAGTGAAGTGATGTAAGAACTATTGTGACATCAAAGTTTCTGTGGGATTTTAAATTGCCTCAAATTGAACTTGCCCCAAATTTCAGTTTCCAGACTCAAAGTTACAAAGATTTTCAACCTTGTTTGTTTGATTTTGCAAAATCTGTTGCACATGAAAATATGTCATATCTTACATAATTTTTTAACAATGTTTTAGTTTTGGGAGAGGAATGCTTTTTTGAACTATAATTCTCAGATGGGAAATCCCTTTAATAGGTTGCCTTTTTTTAAATCCTGGTATAACTTCTTTCCAGTGCTATGATCGTTTTATGCAGCTTGCTGTTTTCCATTTTTATGCTTTAACTTTTTGAACTGAAGTCAGTTTATATCTTGAAACTTCTGCTGTATTTCTCAGATCCTGGAGAAGCATTTCTGGAATAACTTTCTAACAATGAGTGCATGTTAATTTTAACAGTGTTTAGATTTCCTAGCTGTAACTGGGACATTTCATTTGTCATTTTTATAGCAGTTCCCCATTTCTGTCCTTTAGGGAACTGAAGCATCGCGCTGCCCGGCATCCCAATGAATCCAAGTTCCAAATTCATGAATATATTGAGTCACAGAAGGAGAAGTCCGGCTGCTGCAGCTACTTCTGAATCTTCCGTCCAAAAACTGTCAGTCGACGACACGTAGAAAGAAGAGTGGGTGGAACTGAGCGATGCTGCCAAAACTTCACGCTGCCATTCATGGGGAATAAATCCCTACAATTACATCCGTTAGAAGAGTCTCGGAGAAAGGAACCAGGTATTAACTCAGATGACTCAAGGTTTAGTTCTGAGAAAAAGAGATTTTTTCAAACTCTTGAGACTTTATCAGAAACAGGATTTTTGACGTAAAAAACTGCTGTTTTTAATTATTGAAACATTGCCTTAAGATGATCTGTACTCAACTGCTGGGTGAGATTGTGAGCACGACTTTAAAAGCCCCTTTCTAAAGGTTAAAGATACCTTTTCCAAATTAAAAAAATGATGCAGAGTGCTGAGCCAAAGATCCTCTATACCCAAGACATGAGTGCACATTTGTACTGAACTTTGACTGGACCAGCTGAGTAGTAATCATTTCATAATATATTTATCTATATAGCACTTCTAAACAAAGTGCAGTACAGGCAGGTAAAGCAGACAATAAAATTGTATTTTGGCTTAGAGTAATGAGGTCAAAGTTCAAAGCATTGCATCAGTTTAAGTACCTTTTAAAGACTAAAGAAACTGCACATATTTTTCCCTTGTATTACTTACTGTTCAACCCATCACATCAAATTCCAATAAAATAAAATGAATTTTGCTTCTATAGATTAAAAAAAATACTATTTAAAGCAGTATTTTACATTTTTCCTGATATAGTATTTTTACAGCATGTCACACTGGTCTCTATTTATTCACTGCATTGCCGATAGGCCGTTGGTAGTTACCGGTGCTTTGAGGTCACCACCTGCCATTTTGGTTCTCTCTAGTAAGACCGGTTGTTAACAATACGTTCACTACAGCATCAAACAACAATGATGTTCTCATTTTCAGGTGAGCGTAAGACTTTTAATACAAAAAAAGTCATTACTTTTACACACACGCTTTTTTATAGCATCTGTAAATTAATTTAATTTAAGGTAAAAAGAGGCACATCACATTACATATTCAGTATGAAGTCCATGAAATCTATAAATCATGTAATATAACATTGTACAAATCCATCACAACAAAATTAGTGTGTTAATGGAACATAATAATACTGTAGTCAGATATTAAGTTTATTACACACCCACGTGCTCACATAGACAATCAAGATGTCACAAAAGTGGCTAAATTGATGACGTAAATGATAAATATATGTATATATATATATATATATATATATATATACCCAGTTTTTTTAAACTACACCTGTGCCTGATTGTCGTTATTGCTCTGTCCTTCACATATATATATATATATATATATATATATATATATATATATATATATATATATATATATATATATATATATATATATATATATATACAGGTGCTGGTCATAAAATTAGAATATCATGAAAAAGTAGATTGATTTCAGTAATTCCATTTAAAAAGTGAAACTTGTATATTATATTCATACATTACATACAAACTCATATATTTCAGATGTTTATTTTGTTTAATTTTGATGATTACAAATGACAACAAATGAAAATCTCAAATTCATCATATCAGAAAATTAGAATATTACTGAAGACCAATAAAAACAAAGGATTTATAGAAATGTTGGCCAACTGAAAAGTATGAACATGAAAAGTATGAGCATGTACAGCACTCAGTATTTAGTTGGGCCTCCTTTGGCCTGTATTACTGCAGCAATGCGGCGTGGCATGGAGTCGATCAGTCTGTGGCACTGCTCAGGTGTTATGATAGCCCAGGTTGCTCTAATAGTGGCTTTTAGCTCTTCTGAATTGTTGGGTCTGGTGTATTGCATCTTCTTCTTCACAATACCCCATAGATTTTCTATGGGGTTAAGGTCAGGAGAGTTTGCTGGCCAATTAAGAACAGGGATACCATGGTCCTTCAACCAGGTACTGGTAGCTTTGGCACTGTGTGCAGGTGCCAAGTCCTGTTGGAAAATGAAATCTGCATCTCCAAAAAGTTGGTCAGCTGCAGGAAGCATGAAGTGCTCTAAAACTTCCTGGTATGTGGCTGCGTTGACCCTGGACCTCAGAAAACACAATGGACCAACACCAGCAGATGACATGGCACCCCAAACCATCACTGACTGTGGAAACTTTACACTGGACTTCAAGCAACGTGGATGAAGTGCCTCTCTTCTTTTCCTCCAGACTCTGGGACCTTGATTTCCAAAGGAAATGCAAAATTTACTTTCATCAGAGAACATGACTTTGGACCACTCACCAGCAGTCCAGTCCTGTTTCTCTTTAGCCCAGGCAAGACGCTTCTGACGCTGTCTGTGGTTCAAGAGTGGCTTGACACAAGGAATGCGACAGCAGAAACCCATGTCTTTCATACGTCTGTGTGTGGTGGTTCTTGAAGCACTCACTCCAGCTGCAGTCCACTCTTTGTGAATCTCCCCCACATTTTTGAATGGGTTTTGTTTCACAATCCTCTCCAGGGTGCGGTTATCTCTCTTGCTTGTACACTTTTTTCGACCACATCTTTTCCTTCCCTTCGCCTCTCTATTAATGTGCTTGGACACTGAGCTCTGTGAACAGCCAGCCTCTTTAGCGATGACCTTTTGTGTCTTGCCCTCCTTGTGCAAGGTGTCGATGGTCGTCTTTTGGACAACTGTCAAGTCAGCAGTCTTCCCCATGATTGTGTAGCCTATAGAACTAGACTGAAAGACCATTTAAAGGCTTTTGCAGGTGGTTTGAGTTAATTAGCTGATTAGAGTGTGGCACCAGGGGCCATCAATTTTGAACCTTTTCACAATATTCTAATTTTCTGATATGATGAATTTGAGATTTTCATTTGTTGTCATTTGTAATCATCAAAATTAAACAAAATAAACATCTGAAATATATGAGTTTGTATGTAATGTATGAATATAATATACAAGTTTCACTTTTTAAATGGAATTACTGAAATCAATCTACTTTTTCATGATATTCTAATTTTATGACCAGCACCTGTATATGTATATATATATATATATATATATATATATATATATATATATATATATATATATATATATATATATATATATGTGTGTGAAGGACAGAGCAATAACGACAATCAGGCACAGGTGTAGTTTAAAAAAACTGGGTTTTCTGAAGGAAAAGAAGAAAAAGAAATAACCAATGGGTCATTATTTATAACTGAAACTAATATGTTTGCAGGTGTTTAATGAATTTAGCCTTAATCAGTAAAATGATAAAAACAGTATTTTTCATTGCAATCACTGAGTCTGGGAACGGCCATTTTTGCCCAAATATAGTAACACCTCAGTCCTGACACCTTCCGGTAGTGATGTCACAGTGCAGTAAGCCGAAGGCCATTCTCCCCGAGAGAAGCAAAATCAATGGGAACTACTAAACACATCTGCAATCAACAATTATTTAAGATTTCGAGAGGACTTCACCATTGAAGTTTGCGAGAGCTACAGTTAAACTGACAATGCCCACGTGCATGGCAGTTGGATGTTGTAATACATCGGGTAAAAGTGGAAAATAATTAGCTTTTTCACCTTTCCAACTAATGGCTCCTCCACGAGTTCGTCCTTAGATTGCCAACTTGAAGAGGGACGATTTGCCATCCAACTCCTGGCCAGAGAAACATGTCATTATTCCGTTAATTGTTAATTATTCAGCCTCTGCTTCACATAGTGCAGGGGTCGTCGCCATCATGGATAAAAGCACGTTGTGACAAACACCAGATACAGCGTTGGGGCTTGATCAACAGCCGATACCACACCGTGACGTCACAGACCGGTAGGAAGTATTAGTGCTCTTTGACAAACATGGATGTCTTTTGTGAAGCGTGAAACAGTATGTAATAATTTCATACTTTTCAGAAGTTTGTATTCTGAATATGACTCAACTTTTCCTTTAAATACCCCAAAAAAGAAAAAAATTTAACACGTGCAAAATGGATCCAGAAAAGGGGTCAAAGGGACAAAAAATAAAAATTACCAGTAACGTAACTGACTCAAGCAAACTGACCTGCCTTATTGAAACAAAGAGAAACTGAAATAGTGGCTTATCAGTCCACAAAAGAAACATGTGGGGCAAAACATACACAAACTTAACTAAACGAAATTAAGCAAAACCCCATCCCCCCCACCCCCACCCCCCCATAGCAGTGATTTGGTACAGTCCAAATCAGCCCAGCACATTGGCCACCTGCTACTGCCGCTAAGCCAAGGCACTAGAGCAACTGAAACAGAGTATGAATTCAGCTTATTCATAACAGAACATAGTAAACCAGAATGTGCACACTAATTTTGACATATGGTGCAATGGTGATAAATAAATTCCTAATAATGAAACCCTATATAAATGAAACCCTATATTAAAAAGAAACTAAATGTTTCAACAACTGTGTGGCTGTACACGCATCCATCACAGATTACATTGTTTTGGTCATTACATTACATTACATTACTGGCATTTTTATGGCTGTTAAAGTGGGGAGTACCAAGATGGCGACAGGTGACTTCAGAATTTTCGGTCTATCAGCAATCCAGCGAGTAGAGATCAGTGGTGTTACATCGACTCTAAGTCCAGCATTAGACATACTAGTTGTGTTGGGAGGATATAGAGTAACAGCAGCTTCTGAGGATTATCCTCTTAAAGTCAAACCTTACTGTAACACAGGGATGTTTAAGTCTAACTCCCAGTTTTTCAAACAATTTTATTCAAAAGCCATGACAGAAAATGAAAGCCAGGTTTACATTCTTGCAAATGAGTATGACCACGGATCAGAAATGTGTAATATAACTAGTTTACAGGTGTTTTCTTTATAATGGTTGTCTATTTGGATATTTTCTTTAGTGTATTTCTGTTGTTATAAACGCTGCTCGTTATATTGCAAAACATTGCCAGTGTGACTGTTTTTGCTTACTTTATGTTGTTTTACATGTGTTTGAAAATGCAATTACATGAAGAGCTAAGACAAACCAGCTTATTCATGTTGATTTAGGACGTAAAGAATTAAAAATTTAAGACGGGAACAGATTAAATTTGACATCAATATATGCAAAACGTTTTTTTTTTTTTGTTTAAGATACATTTTTCCTCCCTTTAAGACCTTTTGCAAGCTACAAAACTACAAAAATATTGATAACAATGAAGTTGTCTATTGTTTCCAATTTTTCACATCTATATTTCATGTAGATCCATACCCTTTTCTTAAAATCAATTAAAGACTTCTCATTTTTTCAAAGCTGCAAAGCCATTTAAATCAGGGAGCTGAGGAAGTTTCTCAGAACATAACGGGGACGCTTCTGTTCTTCTGCTCCTTCTAGTCAGGAAAGAAATAGAAGACGTTATGCATCAGAAGGCTCTTTACACGGATCACCTATTAGAGTTGAGTGTCTTTTTCTGAGCCCTTCTGTACTACAAGTTCAGGGAACTTACTTTTAAATGAAGCTCTTTGGACAGACTAATTAACACAGACACCATCATCATCATCAAATAAACTCAAAGCACATGTATTTTACTTTCAATGCTAAGCCTGAGGTTTGGTCCGTTTGCATGTAGGCTTGATTGCATGTTCCCTAGCTGTGAGATTTCTCAGAAAAACATTTGACCCATATAAAGATATTTAATGGACGTGTCTATAACATTTCAAGTCAAAGCTCAGGGTTAAGTTGTGTTTTAAAAAATGTATCACTTTATTAAGAGTTATAGATTGTCAGAACATTTGCTTACTTATGTGATGATAAAGCAGTGATATAAAACTGCCTAACCAACGTTTGTATGTGGTATCAATTTTGTTTCTGGGTTTTCCTGCATCCCTAGACAGAAAATGAAAAAAAAAAAGGTTTTTATTGTTAGTCGGGGAGAAAAATAAAATGAGGATTCGTGACATAATTTTTCCTAAAATAAAATGATCCAGTTGTTAGCTATATTGTCTTGCAGAAAGCCAGGTCCTGTGCTTACATTCCACTCTGGGGTCTTTCTGCATGGAATGTAGGAGTGGGATGGTTCTCCAAGGCTCTCCATCTTCAAGAGACAGTTTAAAGAATTACTTTTAGGATAACAAGCTTCTTAAGCTGCCATTAGAATGTTATACACCAAACAGAGTATACACCAAGCACAAAGGAAAATGGTTAATTAGCTCAAAAACAGCAGAAGTAAGTAATAGTGATGAAACCATGTTTTGAGAGATCTACAAG